AACAAAGAAAAACTGAGTTAGAAGACCAGCTAATGAGCCCTCTAATGTTCGTTTCGAGCCTATAAACCAAGAAACATCATTTTAGTATAGACTGCAAAACTTGAACAAATAGAAAACAAAGAAGTTTTTCAGCACTTATTCTGCTTCTAAAACGTCGCGTCACTGAGCACTGTCACAACTGCTCGAAACTTTGAAGAAAAATACGACTGTTCACATGATTCTTTCGTGATTTTTATGTTTTTTCTTTCGGAAAGGTTTTCTTGGATGTATCTGCGAATTAGAAGAAGTTCATTTTTCGTTTAATTGATCAGAGATCATTGATATTCTCTCCGATAAGGCACAGATGAGTGAGCTGAAATCTCAGAAAGAGCAGGTTCAGTGCAGCCAAGCTCATTTCCTTTCTTAGATACACTAACATCGACTGCATCTGTATTTCAAGTTATTCACTCATTCTTCGATCTCGATCCGAGATTATTAAACGAATCAGATGAATCAATGAATAAATAAGTCAGGGTTGACATAGACTAACCTTGAATTCAGTGCACAAACAAAATGCATCATAATCTGTTTATAACAAAATAGAACTACTTATCTACTTTAGAATGTGGTCAAATATGCATCCCATTGGATCTACTAATTGTTTTGAATATTTGAATTACATAGAGTTATGGTGTATCATTTATGTTCTATTTTATCGACTGAATAGAAGATATGATCTACATTATCTTGTCAGCTCCAAGAAATACATCTGTTTTAATCAGTTGTTACACGTGGATGATCGCTCTATTCAGACTATAGCTGTGTGTGTATGTACGGATGGGGATTACATGCTTACGGGTAGACGACACCGATATATCAGTTAAAAGTGAGCTGTTTTTAATTTGCATTATTCGAGAATGAAGTGAAGTGAAAAGAGAGAAGTACGCACTTGAAGAAAGGAAAATTGAAGAAAGTAGATATATATGCAAGTTCAACTAACCTGGCCATTTGTTTACTCCTACTTTTGAGCCAATAATGGATGCTGCTGAATCTCCAATTCCAACGACTATGACGCCGCTAAGCTGTGCCAATCGTCGACATAAAAAGGAGAAAGAAAGATGAATTGACTGATATGTGTTACTAAAATTCAATTTGAACCCACTGTCGTCGGCCATCCATACGGGTAATGACAATCCAAGAATAAGAAATATATGTGAAACAGTTACGAGACCCGTGTCTTTTTCATCTTCATATATTATCCATGATCGTTTAATTATCGATCCTAAAGGATAAATGTTTTTGATTTTCATACACTAAAAGAGGATAGAGCCCATCGACAAAAAAAAAGGAAATTTACTATTTCAACACTTACTTCCACAATGACTAATAAAACGATGAATGCAACGGAACACATTCTCAATAGTTTTGTATCAATCATAATTCCACTTGTGTAAACAATATTTGCTAAGAAATGAAAGTATTTTCGTAGCGTTGTACGATTAATGTCACTGTTGATAGACGGTGTAGTTAGTTTTAAATGGATTGTTATTAAAACAACGGATAAGGAGGAGATAATAAACCAGAATGCAAGAAGATAAAGCTAAAAAGAAACAGTATAGTTTGATCATTATTTGAAAACATAAAATTTCTATATTTATGTCCAATTGTTTCACCTGAGCAACTTTAACAAAGGAGATATAATCGGATGTTAAAATAAATCATTTACTCACTCACACGATGTGGTTCCATAATAAGAAAGTCAAATAACCATGTGAATGGATTTTGATTAATGAAATAATAAGATTGTGGAAGAAACACAAAAAAAAATAATGAAAAAAATGTTGTATAAAATTGAATATTTGGATGTGGTGATGAGACGATTTGTGTTATTGAAAGTAACAAGCCAAATAATGCTAATGTCTAAAATAAGCATCAATAATATTAATCATGAGTTTAAGTAAAAATGATCGCAATCATACTTCACATATTAGTACATAATCATTTCCACATAATGGATTTGTCAAAATAAACTAAAGTATCAGATAAAAAGAAAATTAATATAGCGACGGCATTCAACAATTATTTCACATAATACCTCAAAACATGACCACCAATGAAGATTAATTGATAAAAATAATGTACTTAAACCGATTGATAGTAATAACCACTCGACAAATGAATAGGTTTTTGGACAAAGTGATAGACCACCAATAAACAATGATTTACTCAATATGAGAGCTATTCCCAATAGTAAACATAAAGCGTAGTCTAAATAGAGAAAAGAGAACAATAGTTATGTTCCTATTGAAACTTCAATTTGAACTAATTAGAAAAAGTCTCCTATTAAATTCATTTCAACTATTTTTTTTTTTGTTTTTTAAAATTAAAAGTGACTTTAGTTTGAATGGATTTAATATGAGACTTTTTTCTAATTGATTCAAATTAATTAAAAAAGTTCCAATGAAATTTCTCAAAAGATGTAAAAAGATTATTTTTAATCATATAAAAAAGATGATGGACAATATATAATACACTAACCTTCATAATAAAGTAACATGAGCATGACTGAAGTATTCAAGAATGTTATTGAACAACGAAAGAATAGAATAAATGGTTGATAATGATAATTATATGGTAGTAAAGTTTTTATTGTAAAAGCAATTGTCCATGTTGAAACTAGACTACTGTGTATGAATATTGCTTTATATAATTCATCTTTAGTAGAATACAAACAAAAACAAAAGAAAAACAATCTTTTCATTCTAATTGTAAAAAAAAAGCATACTTACCGTTGGTTGTTAAATAAATTAAAAAACTACTGGATATGAAACAAGTTAAGACAAGTAAACATTGTAAATCGATATGATTACGAGAAATATCACTAAAAAGTAAATATGATTACCAAGTATAGTCAAACTTTTACGTATAACATACCGAAAACATGACTTGAGTTGAATTTGCATTGAAAATACAAAAATAAATTTTGATTATAAATAACTTCGATAGACAAACATGAATACAGTAATCTAAACAACAGCAAATAAAATTATTATATTTTCTTGTCTATTCATATTTAGAATTCTTTTTACGTAAAACAGTTTAATTATATATCAGGAAAATTTTGAATGTGCAGTGAGGCAATATGACTTCAAAAATGTCAATATTTCTGTCACATTGTATCGCAAAAAGATCAAGATTAAGAGACATCATAAGAATCCTACAAAACACGCAAAAATTGTAGCCCCGCTGGGACCAATTGAAATTTTTCCCAAATCACCCACTTCCGCTCAGAAATTAGTCTAATTGTGTCGAATCACACTCTTATATTTATTACAAAAATAGATGAAAAAAATTATAGTGTAAAAAAGAACAATATATAAAAATTAAAAAATTTACAAAGATAGATTTAATTCTAGGTTGTTGGCCTAAGACCAATTGATCGTAAAACAATTAGAACTATTGATTGACGGTTTATCTGACATAATCCTTTTTTTATCATTCATGCGATAAAAGAAATCAATCACTTTTTATGAATATACATTTCTTATAAAAGGTAAAGCGATAGTTCAAAATGTCTATCATTAGAATTTAGGCTACTTTAGATTATATTCAAGGTTTCTGAAGATGTTTGTTCAATAGACATTGTTCGGTAGGATACCATCAGATACAATCGTGTAATAAACAAACTGGCAGTACACTTAAACATTGAATCAACATAATTTTCTAAATACTTTTTCCGCATCTTGATATTATCTAGTTTTCAACGTTGTCACTTCTACTAGAACTTAAATAACATAATATCTCGGTAAATTTAAGAATCGTTTAAATATGGCAATCCGACTAATATTTTGTTTCAGTAATGCTTTATTCTATAGGTGCGTGTATCATTTAACAACAATTTTGTATATAAATAAATAAATTCTTGAAATTGCGCTAAAAAACAATATTTCATATTTTTTTTGTTTATTTTCACGAATAATCATCCGAACATCCCCATGATAAAAGAGAGATATTATTTTTCTTTAATAAAATATTTCACATAAGAACCTTTAAACTCTCTTGATGAATTTGATGAAAATTTTTGATACTCAAAACGAGATTCATTTAAATTTGGTTTATCGATATCTTATCCTTGTTTCATGATCCCAAAACCATACTAGAATGAAAAATTATTTAAATCATCATCGTTATATTGTGAAAAATGTGTTAAAATTTGTTTTAATGAAGATAACTTACTTAAAGATTTACTATCAGACGGTGGAAAAGATATAATATTGAAATGGATTTGATGTCTTTGCCTTTCTATGTTAATAGTTGTTGCTCACCGCGACGTAATAAATATTTAATATAGATCAAATTGTCCTTTACACGTAAATATTTATGTAAATTCTGTCTGTGTGACATCTTTCAAACGTTTTTTTTTCACATTTCGACTTAAGCGCATATAATCTGCGTATAATTATAAAATTTCACGGGATAGCTTCGAATGATTCGACATAGTTTAATATTATTATCTAGGCAAAAATAAAAAAAGATAAATTTATTCAGAATTTACATTCATTCCAGATGTTTGGTTTAAGCTTTAATCTTGAACCAGAATGAAATCGAGAATGTAAATTCCCATTATATCATTCTGAAACTTAAACTATCAAAAGACAAAGTTTGAAAGTACAGGAAACATATTCATTTAGTTATATACTAAATTTAAGTTTTAACCATAATTTTTTCCTATTCTTTAAAGTTCAAAGCTAGTAGAGGATTTTCTCTCGAACTATTCATATTTTTTCTTAAAAATATAACGTACATAGAAAAATAACAACAGGAAACAACAATCAAAAAATAATTTAAACTTCTTCAGCTAGTATTTCTGCATCGGATGGTATCAAAATCACTTTAATTGTTGGAGGTTTTCGTCTTTTAAATAGTTTTTTAGTTGTTTCAGATTTTTCATCGACTAATGCTGTACGTTTAGCCATAGCTTTTTGCACAAGTTCTATTTCTTCCATTGGTTTAGTAGCTAGAAATGAGAGAGAATCAGTAGATTAGAATAACAACGTTTTTTTCTATCGTTCATCATTTGAACTTACCATTGGGTGCTCGTATCAAATGAATATAATCACGAACTTCACGCATATCAGCTGCTTTTCGATCCAATGTTCCTTGCCGAAGTCTAGAAAAAAAAGTGTACGACATTCAAACTAAAGATGAATATTATTTGTTTTGACACTTTTGTTTGCGTGTATAATATGTAGATCATTTCAGTATTATATTCATAATTGGGCAACAGATATATTTACCTTTTCATTACATAATGTGATTGTCGTTTTGTACGAATTTCATCAACTTTTTCCATTGCTTTTACTTTAAAAAGTAAACAATATGTATTAAAAAAAAAGATAAAAAATACTGTTTTTTTTGTTGAACCTACGTGTATTCTGCCATAATTCCCGATTATATTTAACTGGTTCATTTCGACGTTTTTCAAATTCGAATATGGAATCTGTTGTTAATTCTTTGCCCGTAAATTTTCGATGTGCTTTTGTCCAACGTGATTTTCTTGGATTCCATTTCTTTTTGAATGCATGATGACATTTTGATCGACAAAAACGAAATACTTTACAATCATTACGGACAAATTGAATACCATGACCTGGCCAAATTGTCGATGAGCAAAAATAACACTTAAATGGAAATTAATGATTAGGAATACACAGTCAAAATATACTTGTACAATACGAACCTTTTCTAATCTCATGACTAGATGTTAAAGTATGTACGTATCTAAAATGATTCAACAAAAAAACATGTTAAGGTACGTCATTTACACTAGAAATAGACACCCAAAGAGCTTCGATGAACGAAGGATGTAATTGAAATAGAAAAGTAGAAACATTTTTTGTAATCACATTCAAAATTCTAGAGACGAATAATTAGTACAAAAAAATCTAAACTGAGATCTGTCCAAACTATTTTTGCTATACCTTCTTTTTTTATACTTGCTATTGATCCAGATGAAAACAGAATATAAACTTGTGAACAATCTTTTCATAGTAAAATTTTGACTATTTCTCAAATTGACGAAGTCTGTTGATCTTAGAGAGTTTATTTAATTTAATTTAATTTACATCCTGATCTGTACTATTAGATATGAAAAAAATTGAAATACAAAGGATTAAAACAAAAAATCTCTCACAAGAATACTTTTACCCATCGATCAATGCTTTGCGTTGAAGCAATTTTTACTGCAAACTTTCAACGGTTGAATATGTCGAGATTATGATATAATCATGCTCTTTCATTGATTACACTCGTTAGTCAAATTATACGATTTAGTGCGCAATAGTCAGTCATTTCCAAAAAAAACTAGAAAAAAGTTTTTCATGATTTTTTTCTCCCCTTTTTTTTAGAGATCAGATTAATTTTCATTAATGAGATGTTAAAATACAATGATCCTCCGAACATTTTTGAACCATTGAACAAACATATGATGTGTAAACATGACAATATTTTTGTTAAACGAAAACTTTTCGTTATATTAAATTGCATAGATGCCAATCAGATCGGCATTCGTCTATATGAATCACGCATTAAAGACCATAAATAATGTATAACACCACCAAATATTTCATTACCATCTAACGTAATTCGTTCTTCACCAGCAAAAAATCCAACTGAACAATCCATTTCGTCAGTTTGATTATTATTCTGTTCACAAAGTGGCAACGAAATCCATTGAGGAGGCAATTCAATTGTAAAAGAATGTTTTATAATTGTAGAAGCAAAATCAATTGATGTTCCTCCACATGGATAGAGAAGATGCGATGCTTGCCCTACATGATAGGATGAATTATTATTCATTGTTGTTGACATTGTTTTAATTGCTTCTGCACTTCGATTTAACATTGAATTAAAATCATTTGGTTTTAAATGTTTTGTATAGCTCCATGGTAGTAACCAATATCGACCATAGGTATGTAAATTAAAATAGACACGCATTGAACGATGAGGATCAAATTGATCATTATCTTCTTCTTTTTTATTTGTCAAAAATTGAATAATATTTTTTACTTCAGCTTCCGAGGCTGGTAATTGACCTCGATAAGTTTCCTGACAAGGACTTCTCGAACCAGCATATGTATCCCATTCAAATGGAAAATTACGATTTAAATCTACTCCATAACTACAACTTTTATGAGGAATCCAAAAATCTGAATAAATTGTTGGAGAACGATTTCTTCGCCATAATCTATCAGTTTGTCTTGAATATTCATATCCATCCGGATTTACCATTGGCAATATATAGAAATCAAAATGTTTTAACACATCTTTTACTTTTTTATTTTCATTTTTTAATGTTAATAGACGTATAATAATATAGTTTGCTACACCCATTGATAACCATTCTCTTGCGTGCATACCAGCATCTATCCAAACACCTGCTCGTTTTTTCTTTGATAATCGATTTAATTTTGTCGATATTTGAACAACTGTCAATGTCCGATTCTCATATGTAAAACCAATTGGATGTAATTTAACATAATTTTTAGTCAGAGATGATTTGGTCAATAAATTTTGCCAGTTTTGTTGTTCTTCATAATCGAGAAATCGTTCCAAATAAATAGAATCCAATGGATTGTTATATGCTGATAAAGAACGTTTCTGACGGCGTTTATTTATCTTTAAATTCCATTCAGCTACATTTGAAACAATTATTTTATATGTTCCATGATGATAAAGTACATAATGTTTGAATTTGTCTAAATATAATCTTGGTATAAGGCAAACATATACGAATTGTTCATGTTGTTCTAACAAATCCACTGTGGGAAATTCTTTTTCGATAATCGAATATACTAATGGAATTTTTACAAGCCATATTTGATCTTTATCATGAGGAGGAGCAAAAGATAATCTTCCGTTAACGACGAAAAAAAATGAAACAAGAAGATAGATAGAATAAAATATGTAGAACATTGTGTGACGAATGATGTTTACTCTGATTCATGTGTAAGCGTCAATACTATAGTCTGTTATCATTTTACCTTTTTCTCTTGTACTCGTATCATTAAAAAAATAACAGGAGCCAAGGACAATTTTACAGACATCGAATTCTATAACTCAACAAAAAAAAGAGATATCTCTCTATTCAACATTATTCATTTCTTTGACTGTTTGAAGTACTGAGAAAATTAGTTCTTAATAAATTACAAGATTTGAAATCATCTCTTTTAGTTTTTGGTTTACAAAAAGTATTCATATATATCTGATGGTCGAATCAAAGTTCTTTAGTACGCAAATCTTTGTACTTGAACTTATTTCTTTTTGTTTGAAAAAAGAACGAATATTTTTCTCGTGAAAGGTGAAAGTAAAAGAACAAACTTACGGCGCTTTAAAACTACATTTAGTATAAAGATCAGGTCAATCAGAAATCTAAAATTTCCCAGACGTTTGCAGAGTTTTCGACTGCTCTTAGAGATGAGAGGGATTGAAAATTTTGCTTCGTAGAAAGTGGCTAGTGAGAAATAATTTTTGAAAGTTTTGGCAGAAAGTTGCTTGTAAAAAAACTTTTTTAAGAAGGGGAGGGGCCAGCCGCTCCCTGTCTGCCCTGATTGGGAAGCCTGGGCGGTTGCCATGGGCATCAATGATAAAAAACTATTATATAGGCAGTAAAACATGTTTGTATCACTGCACAATAGTTTGCTACTTTATCGATAAAAGGACATCACTTTAAATGAACTTTGACATCAACTAAATCTTTATCAAAACACAACTATAAATATCTCGGTTTCCATCATCTAATTAGTAAGAAAAAAAATTGGCCTTTTGAGTAACACTCTTTATTATCTTAGAAAATGTCGTATATACAATACACATGATGAGACGATACGTTAAAAAAAATCTACCAATAGCTTAGTTATTTGACTTTTAAAAAGTTGAAAATTATTTCACTACTGCGAAAAACGCGAAAAACAAAACAAAACTAATAAATACGTAAGTTAAATGTACAAATGTTCATTAAGATCCAGAAGGACTTTCAAACAACATACATAATCCATATCGTAACATAAACATTTGTACAAAATACAAACACTTGTCTTTGACTATCAAGTTTGTAAACTTGAAAGAACAATTGGATTTTTTTGTTTATTAGTTGAGACTAAAAAGTAAAATAAAAATATTATCCATACATATGTCTTGTGACAAATAAATAAAGGATATATTAATTTGAACGATAATTAGTCTGAGATGAAAAATGAACTAGATCTAACCGTAGTTATATGCTATAATTTCATGTTCACATTTTGTTAAACTAAACTTACGGTCGTCAAGTTCGAGTTTTTGTAAACGAAGTTGCAAATCTGCGAATGGATTATCTTGTTCTCTTGATTTATCGATGTTAGACAAAATTTTTTCTTTATTATCAGTCACTGGTAATTTTTGTTCGTCTATGACTTTTTCTTCGCTCTCTTTCACAACTAGAGAATTTGCAATGGGTGTCGGTGGTGCTGGTTGATTTAATAAATCTTCAAGTTCAGATTCTAAATCATTCATATCAACATTATCACCAATTATCGGTCGATTGAAAGCTTCATCTAATTCTGCTTGGGTATCGAGCATCTTAAACATTAAAAGTAGAAATATATTTTAGCATACAAAATACAAAATTATCTTACGTCATGTACTTCATCTAACATATTTTCAACAGTATCAGGTGATAATCCATTCTTTCTTAATAATTCTTTATGTGCACTAACACCTGACGAATAAGCATTAATAACCTAAAAAATATAAATTGTTATCAATGCAATCAACAATTTTTGATTCACGTACAAGAGATGAACAATCGGTTTGTTCAATTTGTGATAATACAGAATTTAAATGTTCAATTGTGCTTTCTTTTTTATCATGTTCTTTTTCCAATAATTTCTTTTTTCTTAATGTTTTCATCGCAGCACTTCTATTACTATTTTTCAAATGTCGACGAATTTCATTTAATAGTCTTTAAAATAAAAGAATAAATATAGTAAATTAAATTCTTTTTTTTTGATGTTTCTTACGCTTCAATATGCTCTTCTGATTTTTTCAATTGTTCTTCAAGACGTTCTTTTGAGTGACGCAATCTGAAACAAAATAGTACATTACAAGATTATTCAAAAAATAAGTCCGATCGATTAAAGTTATTCATCGATAAGACAATATAAACAACTTACAATAGTACACTATTTTCAATTTCAGTAATTGGACGAACAACAGATGATCCTGGTGCAGCAAACTTAACGACCTAAAAAGAATAAATCATTTTCATACACCATACATCTAGAGTAGTACTATCGTACTTTAACAGTTTTTGCATCATCAATAAAATCGATTAAAATTTTTTTATCATGAATTAAACTTGATACAACTAAATTATTCGATGTTTCATCTTGTAATGAACATTGACGACATGTATCAACAAATGTATTATATGATATAACACAATCGAATGTGGGTATGCTAACTTGTGCTTGTAATGTTTCTAATACGTGTTGAGCTTTTTTCTGGTAACAGAAAAGAGAGAGAAATAGTGTACGATTATTAATAATTATTTAAAACACGTACATCAACAAGTTCTTTGATTATAAATACATCTTGATCAATTGGTGTTTTTGCTGACATCCAGTTTAAAGGACTAGCAACTTTATTCAATGTCCATGACATCCATGAAGTTTGTTGTGATTTACTGTAATCTGCTGAAGACATAAATCGTTTTTGACTAAAATAAATAATACAGCTCGTTTAAAGATGAACGACTACGGATTTTTTCACCTATAAAGATCTGTTTCTTGAATACGAGTAGCTGTTCGGGATTTTTTTAGCTAAAGGTGAATATAAGAAACATTTTTTTTTGTCAAATTTTATTATATTCTACTCTTTTTGGATCTATTTTGCAATATACTGAATTCATTGAACTGAAATATCACTTTCTTAGCCAATCATAATTGTTCGCTAAAACTGAGAGATACTCACAAAGAGAAGTCGAAGACATACACAACGAACAACTTTAAACAATATTAAGAGTTAGCCAGGCAGTATTTCTATAATGGTTTAAAAGTAAAAGATTAATCTTACGGTGCTGTTTTTATCAGTGCATGTCCACTCACTGAGTTTTTTCCTGTCAGCTCTAACATAGTTTGCGTTTTAGTCAACAGTACATGAAATCACTCTCTCGGATTAGCATAGAAGAAATTTTCGCAAGTACATACATGAGCATCAGTCCTCGAATGTGAGTATGGGTACAAGTATTTGACTATTGAATACGTTTCAAATAGTAAATACGAAAAATTGGTACTTGTCTAGCCCTGAACTCATTTATAACAATATTGAAAGAAATAACATTTTTTTTCCTTACCGGTTGAGTTCTTCAAATATACGATCTAAGCATTTTGGTGTTTTTCCTTTTCGGCGAAAACATGAGACCATTGTTGGCACATCAATTTGTAATAGACCATGATCTTCACAATAAGATAAAATTGTTTCAATCCAAAATTTCATTTTTGCATCATAATGAAGTGGATTTAAATCCCGTTGTTTAAATACACAAAATAATGCATCCATTCGTTCATCGTTTTCCCATTCTGATGGACGACGAAACCAAAGTTCCATATTTTTTGCTGAAGACATTGTTTAGAAATAATAGTGTTATCTGCAGCAAAATATTCAAATTCTAATCGAACAAAGAATAAAAAGTGCAGATACAAAACTTATAGCAGAAGTATAAAGCATAAACTGCAAAAGTGTTTTAAATAGAAGATAGATAGCCAGTGGGGAAAAAAAATCTATATCGCACACAAGCAACTAAACTACATTTTTTGAATTGTCAAGATGAAAACAAAGTTTGTGTGCAGTGTCTTTAATGATTAGTGGGTCTCGCTTGAACAAAATGGGTTTTCACTTTGAAAATTCGATTTCCACTTTGTTTTTAGCAGGGAAAACATGGAAAATGCAGTGGGAAACTGTGGAAATCCACTTTGCTTAAAATTCCTATTAAAAACACTGTTTGTATGTGTGTATGTTCTTAACGTTAATCACAAAATTATCCTTAAAACAGATAGAAAGAAAAATCAACGTAATATCATATTGATATTAAGCTCGAGACTGGATTGATATTGCCCCTCCTCTACGTTGTATGGTAGTAAGCATACTGCACTGACTGTGTAATACCATCTTGTACATATTTTCCATCAATAGAAATATCTTGCTCTTTATTGGCTGATCTACTCACGTGAATTTCTGAATGCTTGAGAGGGGTCGCTAACATAAAACAAGTTTTGACATTCTCATATATAAATGCAGCAGTACGTTTCATGTTAAACACCCATTAAGTGCATCCAGAACACGGATAAAAATGTTTTTTCAAAATTCTATTTTCAATGAGAGTTTTTCATAGGGGGATATTTTCACAGGTGACTTTCTATTTTTGACGAGGGTACTGCCAAAAGTGTGGGCGAAATTTTTGAACAAAATAGCGAAAAAGCTTTCTATAGGGAAATAATATTAGTTTTCAAAAATTTTCTTAAACTTTTGGCAATATGGCTCGCCAAAAATATAAAATCTTCTGGATTATCGAGTGTACTGAATACGAAAAAGCATTTTCCGCGACTCTACATGAAATTTATTTTTCTGTCGGTGATATGGTTCTTTACAAAGAAATTAGATAGGTTTTTATCTTGCATATCATTATTTGACAATAGAGTGCAGATTTACAAACAGTTGATTAATTATGTAAAAGACGAAGGCATATCACCAAATCGAAAAATTTTAAAAGCTTCTTCGGTTAAAATCGATTGCAGATTACCGGTAGAGACCGGTATTTCACCGGTTGAAAGTTTTGAAACATCTTTTCTTTTTACCCTGTTTTTCGTCAATAAAACTAAAATTTCACGTCTTTTTCAGTCAGAATAAATAAGACGATGCTCAAGACAAATATTATTTTCAGAGGATTCTGAGCAATACCATGAGCAATCTGCGATCAGTTTGACCGAAGAAGCTTTTAAAATTTTTCGATTTGGTGGTATGATTTTTCTTAACCATTTCTCATAATAATGATATAATTTCAAAGCACCAACTTTCTCAGCATATTTTTATGATTTAAAACAGTTCGTCTCCAAATTCAATTGGATCTTTAATAACATCCTTATCGCAGTCCGAATTAGAAACAACCACTATGATACTATTAGGTAAAGAAGTGTGATGTTGATTATAGCAATTGATCGATTAGTCTTTTGATCTCGCTGTTGTAGTACTCAAATGGCTTTCGCCAGAATGATATACAATCCTTAAGAATTTACTATTGTTAATATTAATGACTGTCAAAAAGGAATCCATAAAAACACATTCTGTTGCATCCAGCTTAAGAAACAAGATAATATGTCGAGAAACCAAAATTGAAAATGTCCAAAAGCAGTCTATTACACGATTGATCACAAATAAGTAACTCTAGAAACAAAATTTGTAATACATATCGTCTTCAAAAGATTTATCGCCACCTTCATCGAACTTGTAACGATTTGAGATCAAATTGGAAAAAAAGCTGCAGAAGAAGTTGAAAATTTAACTTATATCGAATGGAAGTACAGAAATTTTCAGAACTATAGACGTTTTGAGTAAACGATTTTGCCATATTTGAATTTCATAAATTATCGGATAATATTCGACACTTGTTTGAATCGATTGTTAGCTGTGCATAATTTCGTCACTTTTAGACTAAATTGAACATTCTTTCAGTCAGACTTACGCAACTTTTTTTTTATTCAGAAATGTAAAAAGACTACCCCGCTGCAGAGGACTCGATCCATGTCAACAGTGTATTTAAATTGGCTTTCTTCAGGAAAAATAGTTATCAAAATTTTTTGAATATGGCCGCAAACGTCACTGTAGCAACGTAAAAGTTACTTTTAACTATCTGTTGTTTATAAATTTTAAAAATTTTTTTCCTATATGAATATGATGCCTCCCAATACTCTTTCTCCGACTGGTCAAACAACGATTGAATTTGAGACCCGTGCTAGCGTTGCATTTGCTTATCAACATCCAAATCTTGTCCTAAATAAATCTCGTCAAGTAAAACAGACAGCTTGGATGACTCAAACAGATACGAGAAATAGTCGTCAAGCAACAAGCATAATAAATCGACCATCCATTACTATTGGTGGACGATTAAGTATCTTCCCTCGAACTTCCCAAGATATAACCGCTTTTCAAGGTAAAGATTACGATACGACGCGAAATGCAATGCGAGAAGTTATTCAACAAGCAAAAACTGATAAACCATTGATAACATTTAACGAAGTGTTCGTGTAAGCAAAATGCATAAAATAGAATTTTTTCGGCGATGAGTAAACTAATCGGTATATCGTTAATGTTTGTAGCGATACTGATAATGTCATTGGATGTTTATTGAGAATATTTAATGCATATGCTGAAGAAATTGATGGTACTAAACGGATGACCCGTGAAAGAATATTATCACTACTGGATGATTGTGAAATATTCGATTTAGAATATACAACAACGGAATTTGTTTCAGATTTTAATGCATTACGAAAGCAATTAATTCACAAAAAAGTTTACGAACGAAAAAGTGTGAGTTTTTGAATTCTTCAACATAACTGTGTATCTAATTATATATATATCGGTTATTCAGGTCAAATTTGGATTAGATTTTACAGGTTTTGTTGAAGTAATTGAAATACTTGAAAATCGTTTACATAAATCGAAAGATCATATTCTCAAACGGATTATTGGTCCAAAAATATACAAAGATCTAATTAGTATAAAGGAAATTAAAGATAATATTATGCTTGGTCACTTACCACCCTTACTCACCATTTATGAACAATATCAAGAGGTATGTTTGACTTGATGTTCTACGTGTCAGTTTGAACAGTCTTCTCTGTGGTCAAGGTTTAGATACTTTTCGCCTCTAAAAATTGATTCTTCTGGCAATCTTCGATCGTAAACGAAGAGCGATTTGTTTGAAGTTTTTGGGATTTATACACCCTTGACAAGAAAGGTTAGAATACAACCGATGTCCATTCATTTTCTTCAAAATTTTCTTTCGTCTGCAGAGAATAATACAAAAAGAACAAAAGCGAAAGAAAGTAGTCGCAAAGAAAAAGAAGAGTGGTAAAAAATCAGGAGGTGAAGCCGAGAGTACATCATCGCCGAGCAGTCTCGAAAAACAAAACATAAGGCCGAAAATGAAAAAACAAAAAAAATCTAAAAATGATGACGATGCTCAAAGTCTATGCTCATCCGTCTCGCTCAGTAGAGCAGATAGTGGAGATAAAAATGAGAAAACATCACAGTTAGGAAAAGATGAGAGTGATTTTCCGAAAAAGAAGAAAAAAGGTAAAATGCAAAAATCCATGAAAAGTGGAAAAAGTGACAAGAAAAAAACGCTTAAAACTAAAATCAATGCTTCTAAGAAAACTGTTCCTGCCATTAGAACTAGCAAAGAGAAGAGAATTGAAGCTACAAAATTTTCAGATAAACAACAAGATAAAAGTATTAAACTACTCAATGCAACTGAACAAAAAGATGCAAATAGTCTGGATCAACTGATCATGAAATCATTATCGCGAGATGTAGCTCAGTTAAAAACAATTCAAGTACTCGAACATTTGATCAAACGAGACGATTTAGATCCGGATCTGCAACAAAAACTAGCAGAAACATACAAATTAGCTTGTGAACCGTTGGAACAGGGTTTCATCAGGCAGAAAGTATTAATCAAATGGCTACGTGCATCCCAAATGTGGTCAGATATTTATACGATCAGCACGATAGGTAAAGAATAGTTAGCAGAATGGAAAACTCTCTCTAGAATCAATCCTAGTTTGCGTGTCATTAGAATTCGTAATAGTTTCTAGAGTAACTTAGCCTAAAGTCAATAGATAAGATGCTAGTAGTTAGACTCTTTCAAAAATGTCACTTTTCTTCTCATTTTAGAAGGAATAACCGCTGGTTTATTAGCTCGCTACATTGATTCTGGTGTTTACAAATTGGCTTCACACACATTTGAGTACAACGGATTTATGGAGTGTGTTCGAATGTGTGCACGTCATGTGAAAATGTCAGCGAATGATTTTGTTAAAAAAATGTTATTGGCTGATGAGTCGAGTTTTCAACGATGGAGGGCAGAAATTGACCGTTTATCAGATGGGATTATTTCGAAGAAAGTTGTTAGACCATGGAATGCTAAGAAAGTTTTGCGAGCTATTACTATCATGACAGATGTTGTTGAAGAAAGTAGACGTTTACATTTGACAGATGATCAACGAAATCGACTAAGAAGTTTATATAAAGAATTTGCTACATTTGCTTATCGTCGCTTGAGCACACACTTGGAACCGAGATTAACGAACAGTGTTATGAGTAATTGGATGAGAGAATGTAAAATGTTTGATGAACAGTATAGTGTTAATGAATTGGACAAAGATTTTATTTCTATTCTTGGTGATTTTACATTGAACAATATTTATCCACTTGGTACGCGAGATATTGATTTTGACGGTTTTCTCGTATTATTAGAAACAATCGCCGCTCATAAGCACATTAGAGCAGATGATATTGTACAAATGATATTTCAAGGACCAAGATCACCGCTTCAAAAAACGGTGGAATTAAAAGACGATTTATCAAAAGCAAAAATTCAAATAAACGATCAAGTACCAAAACAAATATCGTCTACAAAAATCAAAAGGTGATTATGATCATATTGTTTTATGTAAACGAAGACTAAATCATCCAACGGAAATATAATTATATTTGATAGTGGTATAGAATGACAGAACAAGCATTAACGATGATACATCGTTAATGATGATTCCTCAAATGCATACTACGAGGATACGTTATACATATTGACTTCTGATATTTCAATTTACTGTACAATGACGTATTAATTCTATTTCTTTTAGTCACATTGATTGCATTGCATACACAGCAAATTGAAGTTCTTTTCTGTTTTCCTCAGTGGCTGAATGTGGAAAGAGCCTAAAATAGATTGATAAAAGATAGTTATCAGCATCTAATGGATGATTGAATTTACTATAAGATATCCGAATCTTTTTTCAGTATATCGCATGTACTGATAAACTCGCCCAAGGAGTCTCATATACTGTTTCTTTGCACTCCTGATCTACTATTATCTGTAATAAAGGTTGTCGAATTCATCATTGTAAAACGTTTTGGATGTCAAAAAGCAAAATCGCAATTAGAAATAGCAACATATCGGATGAAAGTATGAGGTTTGTCTCATCAATATTATGTGATTTTAGCCGATTCTTTAGCAAATGAAGGAGTAGATCACTGTAATAGTGTATCATCATCATTGATTTCTTATTGAAAAATATTCCTTTAGAATTAATACATATTGAGAGATAATAAAACATTTTTTCTTTCTTCAGCTACAATTTAATGTCAATTTCTTTTTAAAAATAGCAAGAGTCATTGCGTCGGAATAAAAAATAATAGTAATAACAAATTGAAAAAAACAACAACAATATTGATAACACTTGAACACGCGCACATATACAAGTATCAAAGAACTGTACAAATATAAATAGATAAACAAAAAAAAAAACAAATTATAAAAGATCGTCTTCTGGCGAACGAAAAACAGGACCGGCTAATTTGACATGTTGAACACCTTTAATAGGTACTTCACATTGACTATAATATTCAATCATTCTCGGTACAGTTGAAAATGGATGTGAACATTGACCAAGTATATAAACACCATTATTTGAACAAATTCGCATATGAACACAACCACTTGCAGTTCTAAACAAAGATACAGAAATATAATACGATATTACACTTTGTAAATAAAACTATAAATAAAATTTATTTTGTCATTCAACGTTGAATAAGACAACTGTTTATCTCAGAGATAATTTTAACAGTAATATTGAAAAGATAATTCGAACTTTCCTAGATAAAAATATATTTAATTTCATCCACTCACGGTCAAACAATTGAGTCACCATTGTTAATTCTAACTTACCGAATTGAAAGTGAATAATCATCTTTATTTCCACTTTCACTTTGTCGAACAAGAAAACTTCCACATGGGCGATTGTACAATAATGTTTCTGCTTTTCTACGTGAAAGTGAATAGTGATACCAACTGAAACGTAAATAAATATGAACAAAAAACTTGTTGATAGAACATCATTTTAATCTTACAAATAGCGATCGATTGGTAAATCATTATCGGTTGTATTATTCTCTACTGTTTTTGTTATCAACGATGGTGAAGAACAACGCCCACGAAAACTCGTTTTATTTGTTTCTAAAAATTTTAAAAAAAAATTCCTTTCATACGCTCTTTCTTTCATAAAATAGATAGCAATTCTTTGATATGAGACTAGATATCCTGTTAAAGTAATTTCAAGCAAGATTCAAATAAATGCGAAAAAGAAGATTCGAAAGAGGAAGTAATTCTTACCAACAATTGTAGCTGCTTGATGAACATTGTTTGTGTTACAACATTTTCCATTTGTACATGATGTGCGTACTCCTGACATTATTTGCATGGGTGGCGACGATGTTTCTCGTTTGAATTTTAAATCGTTTTCTGTGTGTATTGTATTTTTTAATAATGCTCCATTTGTTGTTGTAGGTGATGTTAAACTGCCAATGAGAGATGTTTGCATGGCGTCCCATGGACGTTCATACGATATATCATTGTTATTTGTTCGATACTGTTGATCATGTTTAAGTGACGAAGAGGATGAGACAGTTGAACGAGTTGAACTTAAACGTTTAAATTTTAATAGTGCTGCTTCGAATGAAAGTGGTTCGGGAATCGTTGCTGTTTGAGTTTTATTGGAAAATGAATCATTTGACGATGATGAATTATTTGGCATTGGTGAAATAGATGAAGTTGTCGATAATGTAGATGTATTACTTTTAGACTGAAGAGGTGATTGTTGTTGTTTATTTTCGATAACGAGAGAAGTATCAACTTTAACCGTTAATGGTTGTGTTTGTATTTGTTGTGGTTTGTCTGTCGAACTTGAAAATATAAATGAACGACTTGTATCTGTACAACGTAATGCATGAGCATTTAAACAAAATGCAATTTTTTTTAATGATGGATCAATTTCATTTCCAACTCCACAGTGGCACGTTGTTTTTAAACCACCTGGTGGCAATGGTGGAACAGGAGGTTGTGATTGTATCTGAAGTGATTTTTTTGATGTACGAGCAGATCGTGTCCGATGAAACTTGTTACTATTATTGATGGATGAAGATGAATTTGAGATTTCTGGGTGTAATAGAGCATTGGCCGATAAACTTATTGATTGTTGTAGTTGTTGTTGCTTTGATTCGGCAATGTTTTGTTGACGAAATGTAGACGATGTATCATTCGAAAGCTTTTGAGTTATTAAATTCGTATGAGCCGGAGAAGAAGGAGATGATTGCTTTTGTTGTTGATGATTATTTGTCAATAATTTTAATTTTTCTTCTTGTGATTTTAAATCCCATGGTGCACAATAACTAACTGGCTCTTCAGTACACGGATGTTTTGAAAATGTTCTTGAATTTGTTATAGATTGTGTGACAGTTGTACTCATCGGTGATGGTGGATTGCGAACGAAATCTTGATGTTTAGAATTGAATACAAAATCAATTAATTTTGTTGAATCTAAAAATAAAATGTATATCAGTTATACAATTAATAATAAGAATGAGAGAAATATTTTGTAAATAAAATTTTCTTCTGAAGTCCAGTGTATCACATTATCAAGACAGTCATTTACATGCCATAGGAAAACAGAAACAAGACATACAAGGTAGTAAAGTAAGCGTTTTTTGATTTCCATTAGTGTTCTGTTAACTGAAGTGCGTTTCTCCTTTTAATGCTAAGTACTTTTTCCAATACTGAACTTCATAAATAATTCCCGAGAGCAAAAATATATGGAATTACACGTTAAAAAATTGAATTTTACGGAGTTATACACATCAGAGAGTCATTAAAGATTCTTAGTTTGTTCTTTGATAATTTTTGCCACACATGGTTATACGTAGTTTTAACAACTTAATCATCATTTTATTTTGTCACAACTCTATATAAGTACAGCCTTCGCCATCCTCTCTCTTTTCACTTTGAAAAAATGAAGAGCGTTAGGTCTGTTTTTCATCTACAAATAGTTTTAACTTTATTTTTTCATAAATCTATAAAAAAAAATGAAATCTTGAATATTTGTGATCTTTTGCAATCGAAATAAATCCTTGAGCGCTCGAGGTACATTTCTTTCCCAAAAAATGTATGCTAAGAAATTGCTGAGAATATCTAATCAACCATCACTATTATCGTTTTAGGCGTTTGTAAAAGTGTATAATATAAAAAATAAATGACCAGCTGGTTGTTGTTTTTTTCTTTTGTATTGTTCTTATTCTGTTCGAGCAAGTAAGAAAAGAAAAGAAATTCAGCTGATCATTCATTCTTACTAGAAAGAAAATAATAGCTGTTTTACTCTACTTTTCGTCAAAAGCCATCGCGCCATTACTCACACATATTCCATCATTTTTCTAACTTCATTCATTATTTAACGAAAAGAAGAGAGAAGTCGTACTCTTCCAGCGTTCTCTGCCAGTCCATATAATGACCGATACAATATGTGTGGTAAAACATCATTTTTTACTTTTGAGATCGATGGTGAGCTTGACCATGAGTGTAAGAGAAAGAGAAACCATTAATGTTATTCTAGTATATATATATATATATATGTATGTTGAAATTTTCTTCTATTTATGTTGAAGAATAGACACTATGGAATCTTATACATTTCTACTATATAAAATTTCCTATCTCAATATATATATCTATATATATACTAAATAGTCGCCGTGATAATGAGAAAATAATAAGGTCAAAAGGAGAAAAACAGAGAAATGATCATATTCAACACACTTTCAGACAAAAAATGAACTTTTTGTTTTGTACGCTCCATTTATGTGTATGTAGTGTTAACAAACACAATCGCATGTCTGTCTGACATCTTCAATCGTCGAACATTATCAACAAATTGGAATCGATCCTGTATACTATGAAGTGATAGTGTTTAACGACTAAAGCTCTATAGAGTCCGTTTTTTTTTGTCAAAAAATGGATTCTAAAGAAGACATCGTCTACTTGATAGAAATAGAATGTAGAAAGCAAGATAATCTCTTTCTAAATCGCGAGAAGATAAGATTTGAATAGATGATATAAGTTTGGTAGTCTCATATATAGCCTATTGTCTCAATACAAAGACGTGATCTCGATCGAATGACCACAAGTACGGAACAAAAGTCGCCTATTTTAGGTTAATAATAATCTTGTAACTCTTGTAGACTTTTAAAATAGTTGAAATGGGTAAAGAAACCATAATCGATCAGATAATTTCACACTTATCTTCACAATTTCCTTTTCACTTTTACTTTGGTGTCATGAAATTATTTGCATAATATCCTCATAGTCTCTGCTGGAGATCCAAATTACATCTGAATTTGTCCATTTTTTTTTAGTAGATAATAATCATTGCAACATGTTTGATTATAACTTGTATAATAATAATAGTTCTACTATCTTATTGTAGTAATTCTGAATACACCACTTTTATATTTATTATGTAATAATATATAAGACTCACTGTTAAGCTATATGATATTGAATACTAAATAGACTAGTACATACGATTAAGTCTTTTTCAAGTTTTGAAACTAAAACATCATTCGAACGATATTATTTTTGTTCTTTCTTTTCAATCAATTCAACAGTAATGTCGCATCTCAATCCTTCCCACTTGTTTCATTTTATATGTCATTTTCACCAGAAATCAGAGAGTAAAATTGATCAACTTCAAATGTGAATATAGAAAAATATTGTAAACGATTAGAGAGAGAAAAAAAAATTTGTCAAAAAGAAAAACGTCTCATTTTCTCTCTTTTCATCATATCGTTACTGCTACCACTATCCTCACTTAGAGAAAAAAAAACAAAATATTTTATGTTCAATCATTTATATATTATTCGAGTTTCGTCTTGTCTTCATATGTACAACATTTTTCATTCACATGTCTAGTACAATGTGTTAATGAACACTTTTTGATAATCGACATATATGTACGAAAAAGAAGAGAAACAGAGAGAGAGAGAGAGAGAGAGAGAGAAAGAGAGAGAACTATTAATATTACGAGACAACTAAAAGAATCTTATTTTGAATGTTTTTACTTGGTTTCTTTCAAAAAGAACACAATACTTTCTATAATTGATAATGGTAATATGTAGAAAAAGAAAAATTAATCGCAATTAAAAACAATAATTTGTAATATTAAATATTAGAAATAAGAAAAGCCAAAATTTGACATTAACATTTGAGGCTATAGTTTTCTTGATGAATACGAGACAAAGATATAACTGTATTAATTATTAATGTAAAAAACCCCCAAAATACTATGATATATTAGATACTATTTTAGAAGACAAAAGAATGAATATTTGATGCATAAAACTGAAACTATTAGTCAACTTATCAGTTTAGAGTAAAGTAAACAAGCTTAGATATTAATATCTTCTACAGTAATCTAATATTTTGTCGACAATCAGAATAATCATTAAATGTCAAAATATATCATTATTAGCTTGAAGAAAACACGTCTGTCAATAATAATAGTCGATTAATGTTCATTTAAGAATTTTGTGCAAAAGAGTAATCAAATTTTAACTAAAAAATGAACTGGTGATAGTGTTAAAAATAAATAAATTTTTTTTTTTGCATGCTATCTGTTTTAACATGAGAAAAACTATTCTCAAGAGATTGAATATAGTTTATATCTCTCCATTTAAACAGATATTCTAGTTTTTCGAAAATTTTTACTTTTTTATTTTTATTTTATATTTTCTTTATATTGTCAACATGAGAATAAAACCTACGAATATTTTGTTAACGTGCATACAGCTGATCATTCATAATTACCATTATTAATTGAATTAATGGGTTCACGATATGAATCGATATTTTGTTGTTTAAATGTATTTTCTTGATTATTTTCAATTAAAGCATCTTGTGGATCTCCATATTCGAGTATACAAGGCTAAAATAAAGAGATATAAAATAAAATATTAATAAATAATTACAAAAAAAAAAAGATGTAAATATTTTATAAAAAAAATTCATATCATTTTCTTAAGTTTTTAACCTTATTAAAACTATAAAATAAAAACAATGAATATCTCTATTTCAGATGAAAATTTTTGTTAACTATACCATTTTTCTTTTTCCGATATTTATAATTTGTTTTTTGTTTCGATGATTTGTATTTCGAATATTAAAGCAACGATACATACTACATACAATGAATATAAATAGAATCACATCATTTCCTCTTTTCTAATAATATTTTAATCATGCTCAAGTTATATTATGTATATATCTGACGAATATGTAGGTGTTTTTTTTTTGTATTCGTTATCGATACTAGGGTATTTATAAGTCTATAGAATATTTATTTAATATGCCATTCAGAATATAGCTAAAAGTTATTTTTTTTCTTCTTTTCTCTCTTATTCTTTCTCTGTCTGTTCATATAGTCATTATTCTAAATGGTATAAAGAGAAAAAGTGTAACAATAATATTTACAATTATTAATCGAAATACATGAAACAATTCTATGGAATATTAATAATTAGATCTTTTTTTTTTTATATTTCTCACACGAATGAATAGATTCAGTTGATTAAAAAACATTTTACAACGAAATTGAATGTCTGAAGAAAAAACACTATGTACAAATTGATTGTTCGAGAAAAATGTTTTTGATAACGTGATCTCTACATTATTCTACAAGGAAAAGAGAAAAAAATAAAATAAAATTGAAAAAAAAAATAAAACATTTTCAGTCCATATCATGTTGAAAAAAAGTAATAAGAATTACAATTACAATTTATTTTTATAGTTTTTTTTTCTTCTTTTACTTTAATGGCCCTGTGATTCTGGATGCATGACGATAATTCGAGACAAAAAATGACAACAAGAATGATAGATATTAACAAAAATTCATTTAATACTCTCTACTCACGGATACATTCATCTATGTAATCTCAAGTGAAATAGATGAAAAGTTCTCTAATTTCTTAGAGTAATAACACATTTATGTGCATCATAGTATTTCATATTCAATGAACCATCCGTGAAAATGTGTTTTAAATATTAAAAAATTCTTTTTTTTCAATATTTTTAATATATAAAGGAATTAATAAATCAATTCTAATTAAAAATCGACTAAAAAATATTTTCAAAAATTCAAAATAAAACAAACAACTATTTTCCTTCTAACAGAATATTAGAATATCACTGACTACTATTCAGTAATGATTAAAGAACTAAATGAAAATGAGAATAGAGTAGTCATTTTACATCCTCTTGGTACACAAACAATATAAAAATTTTAGAATAGTCAAAGTCTAACTATTGAACAAATGATGTTGATATTTCGTGTCTTTATATCTATTTAAATATTTTCAACTGTATTTAATAATTTGTTTTTTCATGCTAATTTAGCTCTATATGTATATGTACGTATATATGTGTATGTGATTTATTTCTCATTTTTTGATGAACTAACTAAAGTATTATTTTATACATGACCACAATAGACACAACAACGAAGGCTTAATATGATCAATACAACAGGGGATGTGTGATAATTAGACAAATATTTACTAAAATGGGAAGAATAGTCTATACGGAAGAAGAACAAATTTATAATAACGATAATGAAGACGACAGACAATAGAGATGTGATGTGGTTATAAACAATTGACAATTTCATTTTTATTTATAAAATTACGTAATAGAATAAGAAGAGAAGTGTCTAGATGTATATAGGCGACGCATAGACATATGTGATAGATAATAAATAAATTAGGGATAAAAAAAAAAAAATAACTGTGCATGTTGGATTAACGGAAAACACAAACTATAGCTATCATATATAAATTTAGTGTCAAATAAAAGCAAAAAAAAAAAGAAGAAATGTATATATGATACTCCCCTCTTCTAGACCAGTGACTTACCAAGGACTATGCAAGAACATATCAAGTTTAATATTATCATTTTGCCTCTCAACAACAAGGTTATTTGCAAAGATAAATGATTTCACATACTACTAGCACGGGTGGGATTCCATTCAACTAATAATGAGCAGTATATTAACTGATAGCAAAAATTCTTATTCAAAATCAAACTCGACAGCTGCGATTAATCTAACAACTGTTTAAACCGACAATAGAAATCTGATAGAAACAAATTATATTTTTGTTTGTTCTGGTTATCGACCATCATTATGAATAATATTCAACTATATACAATAGCATTGTGATATCAAAAGATATTGACAGTAGCAATAGAAACAACAAATATAAACTATTTACAAAAAAAAAAGAAGCAGAATAAGTAACAAGAAAAAGGCATTATTACAATCCATTAGATTTATCATGATTGAGAGATAGTCACTTTATAATTCTCAATTTTATCTTATTTGAGCATTCAAGTTTTAACGATTAACAACATAATACAGAACAGTTAGTTGCAACCGTTTCACTTGTGAACTTTTATGAAATATGTGATAAAATGTTTCATTATATAAAGTAACAAAAATTTTAGTTTTTTGTATTGTTGTATGAAGGTTTAATAGAGTGTCCGATTAACTTTTCAAGCGATCATCTTACAAAAAAAACTTCTTCGATGACAAACATTTATGACACTAGGAAAAGAAAAAGGGATATTATTAATGACTATGCAAGATTGTTGAGATTGCTTTTTTAGTAAATCTACCCTTGATGTCAATTACTTTAGCAAAAAAACGAAATAAAAAATTAATAGTACCAAGTTTCAGAACTATTATTCTTTACTCATATTCCATACGTAGAGTAGATAGTTGACAAGGCAAATAGATAGACGATATATAGTATAGTATAAAACTTTTAACTTACAAGTTATATACAAAGAAATTTTTTCATAAAACATAGAAAATTTTTTCATAACATTAGAAAAAGAGCTGATAAAACCGTAGTTTTCCATACCTGTTCATTTAAACTTCTAATTTCACAACGAATTCCTGATTGTTTTACAGGATAATGACTTGAGACTAAAGACATTATGCGAAGTATTGGAATTAAATAAATGGCATAGACGATGTGGTAGACATGTTATTTTTTTTTTATGTGGATAAATGTGTTAGTTCAGCAGAGCACACATCGGCAGAGCTGAACGAGGGAAAAAACGAAAATTGTTTCACTGACTGAACGATATATAATATATAGCCAAAACCGTAAAACAATAATTTTTTTCTTTTCTTCTTCTTTTAATCAGTTGTTGAAGTATATGTTAGCAAGAGAGCTAGAGAGAGAAAGAGAGATGGAGAAACAGACTATTTTTGAATGGCTACATTAATCAGCCAATTACACTCACAAGTTGGAGAGGAGGATACGTATCACACTTACACATTGAGAAGGTTACGGCTTCTTCAACGAAGGATGGAGATCGAAGAATGTAAAATAATAAAATAAAAGTCAGTAAGTTAAATGGAATCCACATTTATGTGAGAAATGCAGAAGGTTCGAAAATACATTTAGTATGGTTTTTCCTCACCTGGTGTACAATTTCTATCATCGGTTTCTATATGTCATTCTAAAATGACATTTCAGGCAACGAATCCAGATGCCTCTTCATCCTCTAGTCAAGACCGTCGACAAAACTCCCACGGGATTCTGCGGGAGTCAGGTGGGACTTTCAAGAGACTCCTGAGGACTCCCGTGCTCGACAGTCCTAAAAGTCTCACGAAAGTCTTCAGGAGTCCATTAAAAGTCTCACCTGGCTCCCGGAGGATCCCGTAGGAGTTTGTCTCGAGTCTCGACTAGGATATTTTATTATACTTATCCTACAGTATCTAATTCTATTTTAATAACTAGCGTACAATGCCGCAACAATGCTTTAATAACTAACCCAACTCACGAGGGAACCTCCCCAGGTGTCCCCCTCAGATTTCAATGAAATTTCGTCAGAAGATGGCATATAGTGCCCTGATAAAAACCCTAAAAGGATTTGAGTTGAGAGTTATTCCTTCAAGAGTTATGCCTATTTTACTGGATTT